AATGTTGTGCTGTGAAGCGATATTTATTCATAGAGGAAATAAATTATCGTTGTATATATTTTCTCGCAAATGTGATGAAAAACATTGTATGTAGCACGGGCGGTAAAAATTACAAACTTCGAGTCATTAAAACCTTCATTCCAACCTTCATTCGGGCTTCTAACAAACTCTCGTTAGTGTAATTTCTTATTTAACGCCCTTGATATGTACTAATAATAATAAAAAGAAATTGTTTATGTACTTGAATGCCTATTAGATGACAGTATACGTCTCGGCCTGCCTATTACCTCGTAGGTCAAACTTTTAGAATGAATCTCAACAATCACGGAAACCAAAAATAAAACCACTACTCCCGTTGTACTTTCTCTCCACGGTAACGTATGACGTATCAATTTCGTGAACACGCCCTTATCGCATCATCACAGTGATATTCGGCTGCAACTGGATACCCCCGATGTGGCATGAGTTTTAAACAGAAATAAGAAATAAAAGAAATGCCAAGATGTCGTTTTGAAGAATTATCTTGATTTCTCTTGTTTCTGTGGCTCAATAAAGCGAGAACTGTATAGTTCCGCATTACGAATATCAATAATGTCTTTGGATTCCTTTGGGGTAGGCAGAGCCAATAGAATATCTTCTACTCCACTTACATTCATAAATCTTTGACCCTTCTTTTCTTGTCATCCTGAATACGCACTCCAAAATTGCACGGCCACAATTCCCAAAACAACATAACTTTCACAAAAACTCGCAACACGTATCCATTACTTCACGTGTGCACGGTCTGGGAATCGAACCGGGGCCCGCTGAATAATTTACCTATGCCAGGAAACCATAACGTGCAAGCGGGTCTCCCGAGGCCGAGTCTCGTGGTAAAAACCAATAACGCGCTACGTGCTTTCGTACTATGCTCTCCTGGTAAGTGGGAGTACGCGGTGTAGAAGAAATTTTAGGTTATTTTGAAGTTTGAAAAGTATGTGGAGCGTTTCCACTGCATCAGAACCACAAAGTGCAATAAATAATCTTTTCGATATGAAAGGAAAACTATATGACACCTATTTCTGATGTCAAGCAGTACCTACGTTCCGGTTTTGAAGGGTAAAGATACTGGTGAAATACAGGCACATTGGACTTGTCAACTTATGTCCACACAGGGCGCCTGGTAATAGGCGCCGCCGTGGTTTCAAGCCCTGGGTGGCACCACAACTGTTATGGACGAGCGTGTCACTTACCACCAGGCCCACGACGCTTTGATTACGTCCCGTTACTTGTTACCATCAAAAAAGAGCAACCCCTAAAGTTTCTTGCTCATTTTTCTCAGGGGAATTTGCCTTACGAATGAGCGGTAGAGTTTAATCAATATGACAATTTCAAATCCGCTATGTTTAGCTATGAAATGAAGGTATTTTAGAGTTTAAGTTTGAGCTGCCATAATATTTTCAAAAAATTGTTTTAGAAGTTAAAACACGACATTGTTATTTTCATTCCATGTCAAAACAATGAACACCCACAAGCACAAAATCAAACAAATTAGATATTTACAAAACATTGAATATCATTTACTATATGTAAATCCGCCGGATCGGGCTCGAGTCGTCTGAAGATATCAAAATAATGTAATCCCATGTTCGCTATGTTATTATAATAAGCCTGGATTTTATAGTTGTAACAAATAATAAAAAGGTTGACTTTATGCCAAAATACGACGACGATAGTGAAGAAATACATGGTGAGAACACTCGAAAACAATCTTTATTTCATAGGTAAGCAGGTCAGACTTCGTATCGTCATATTGATAAAACTCTACTGATCATTCGGAAGGCATATTCCCCTGAGAAGAATAAACAAAAAACTCTAAGGACAATGAGTTCTTTGTAAATAAAAATTTGCATACATTTATCTTTTACAACATTTATTTGAAACATCATAGATCAAGACAACTGCAAGGGATAACCTGGTCACTACTACAGATTTTTGTCATCCAAATACGCGAGTTTATTAATCTTTGACATAAAGATTTTGTTTCACTACAGTTTTAAACTTGATGAATGGCAAATTTTGAATATCAATCCGAACTTATTTTAGAAAAGAAATGCATTGCTTTCTTAAATCAATTTGTAACTTTGTGAAGATGACTCTCAAGAACAGCAAGTTGATTTTTATTCCTCGTATTAAAGTTATATCTGTCACTATTTGTCATAAAAGAAATCCTATTCTTCTTAACATTAATTGCATCTTCATAAATATACTGTGACGCTAGTGTAACAATGTTCATTTCTTTAATCTTATCTCTTAAAGACTCTCTGGCGCCCAGATTATAAATTGCCCTAACCACACTTGTAACTAGATTAAGATTTATATATTATCCTGTAAACTTTACATTATTATATACAATATATCGTTACAAATAAATGTTACATTTCAAAAAATTACAAGTTTTGTACTACGGAATTTTAACATAGTTAATGTAGTTATGTGAAATAATGTGGGAACATATTAAATAATATAACAATAATTATGTCAATAAAATGATTGTACGCGTTAAGTTTATGTAATTTATTCATTTCTGTAAAATAATATTCATACCTAATAATCTAATACATTACAACATATATTACAAGATCAATGGAATAACACGCATTATCTAACAAAAACGTATTTCAAGCGACGATCAAATGTTTCATCATTAGGCTCATTTTTTAAGTCAACTGGTAAGTGCTCATAATAAGACGGGCCGATTATGCGCGGATTTTTTCCAGTGACTGCTAACCGTCGTGGTACGACCCTCAGTCGTCCTGTGGACTATGTCAAACCATTTGTCTATCGTAGTCTTGAGTTAGCGTAAGTCTAGCGTTGATTTACAATCATCATCATCGACTCTTTATTCATTTAACTGCTGGACACGAGTCACCACAGTTGGGACTTAAAGAATTTTCCAGAGGTGAACCTTCTCCATCATCACGATGTTTTCCTTCATTATTAAGGATCAATATACGTAAATTAGAAATTAACGTAACGTAATTGAAATCTAAATCGCGCATATTTGTTTTCTCAGCCAACGTTTCTGGCCCTTTACAGATCGTGAACGATGGTATGTTTGAAAAAACAAATATATGCAATTCAGCTACAGGTATAGCAAATTAGGTTATTCAAAAATACAACCTGTTTTTTTATGTTGACTTCTAATGAGGTCGAGGATGTAGCATGCACACCTAAATAATGACTATTCTCTCTCGCCTTGAGTCCAAGTTATAGCGTTCGGGGAACAAGTCGCTCGCCATACATATGAGGAAGCATAACGCTTCCTGCAAATCCGGGGAATATCCACAACATAGGGGTGGAACCCCAGCCCACGTCTAGTCCCCCGATGATGAAAAGGGGAAGGCGGAACCAAATTATGCAATTCCATCGAAACTCTAGCTGGCAACTCTACGGCGGTATTCAAGGCTCTGCAACTTCGCCTCTGCTAATTCCAAGTTACCTATACGCTTGTCTATTGGTGGCTAGTTGGTATTTAGCAGAGCCATCCCATAACTGGCAGCAGTACTCCATGCACGACCGGTATTGTGCTTGGTACAACTGAAGCCACAGTCCCGGTGTGAAGGTCCCGGTAGTAAGGAATGATATAATAATAATGTACACACTCGTAGGGAAAGCCTATGTCGCGGGCGCCATGGACACACACATAGATAACCAGAAATTACACCCAAACTCACGAGAGAAATAAATGTAGGCCATACAAATATTCCTCCCGGTCTAATATCGTTAAAGAGAAAGTTACTAACGGCATATTCATCTGTTTGTTGCAGCACCCCTACCCTTCGGAAGATCAAAAGAAGCAGCTAGCACAGGATACAGGGTTGACTATTCTACAAGTGAATAATTGGTAAGTTAACTTTTAAAATAAATACTTTATTTACTATAATATTTTACGTAGCAAAATAAACTTTATGTCTATTGCGTAACGTACAAACTACACTAAACGCTAACAGTATGATCCGCCAAACAGTATGTGCCACTTCATTTGACGTTTGTCATAGGGATGAGGTAAAGTCGATAGATTTTTAGTGTAATTGATTTTTGAAGCAAACTGTCTCTCATATACGAATGATGTATTCTGAGCGATTTATAGATGTGTGAAATATTTTGTATTATATTGAAGGCATGAAACTCACAACCATAATTGAAATGCAATTTCAATAGACATTTTACAAAATTTCAAAAAAACATTTATCATGTCATTAATTTTTAGGGCAGTGCTGTCCTTAGAACAGTTCCATCCCCATCAGTAGGACGTATTTAAATTATTTAATTTTTAGTACAGTATTTAATCATGCATATAAAAGATATTTTAATTACCTCGACGTTTCGGATGTATTGCCACGTCCATGGTCTCTAAGGGACTGAAGAGGCGAGTGTCAACATGTTCTAGAAGTATCACTTGGTCTTCATTATTTACTCGTGCACCAGGGTTGTCACTAGAGCGACACACAACGCTCACGACTTCCGGTGACTTGTCCGGCGATACTCAATGTCGTTTATATTTGCTGATGACTGGATCCCATAAAACCTTGCCCTAATTTTCATTCGAAGAATCTTTAAACGTCACTTCTGAAAAATCTTGCAGATGTGGTCTTTTAACTGGAGGTGCGATTTAGAAGTCCCATTGTTGAGTAAAGGTTTCATAATTTAGAAATCTTTTAAATATGTCCACAAGCACCACTAACCGAAACGGCGTAGATCAAAAGCTGAAATAATGAGTATCAACAACTAGTGACAACCCTATAGTGCACAAATAAATAATAACGTAGCGGGTAGTTAGAAAAACTCGCACGGCTAGAAGTCGCACCTTTTGAGTCCCTTCGAGACCATAGACGTTGCAATACGTCCGAAACGGCGAGGCAATTAAAATATATTTTATACATGATTATATTTCGAACTAAAATACAAATAATGTGTGAAAATCGTGAAAGTATAAGTCAATGTATATACATTGATAATGATAATATCTGGGCGTTGGATTTGTTCCTAGTTTTATATGCACTTTTTATCTCATATTACAGAGGTAAATGGGTTAAACAGCAATAACCACACTTACAATAACACAGTTCAACCTTATAACAAAAATGTTAATCCAAACTTAACCGGACCGAAGATAAACCATGTTCTTTACGGCACCGCAATAACATTAAATACAATAAATAACGACTTGAGCCTAATATAAACTTAGCACAAGGCGAATCACCCGGCTTTGAATGCGATTTCAGATTATTTGTTAGCTGACAGCGGTTTAGTGCTTTGGGACAGTATTAGGATTTAGTTATCTGGGTTTAGTTCTTGCTGTCCACAACACTCGTTGGCTGAAGCAATTTTGGTGTTGTGACATTAACATCCCGAGGTCCACGACAATGCAAGAATTATACGCACACCTGATGGTAGAATGGCATAAGTGGAGTTACGTCTTAAACGTTTATCGCTCCATTAGATACAGAAAAATATAACCCACATCCTCTACAATTCTTGTGTAACTCTATCGACTGATATTGTAGATAAAGTTTTTTTTTAATAACATAAAGTGACGGGACGCACCATGCGCCTGATGGTAAGCTCACGCCTGTCCATAACAATTGCAGCGCCACTCAGAGCTTTGGGACGGGACTTGTCAACTTATGTCTCAGGGTGTCGGAAGCTGAGAGATAAGTTGACAAGTCCCGTGTGCCTGTAATTTCACCTTACCCTTCAAAACCGGAACACAGTAATGCTAACATTACTGCTTGGCGGCAGAAATAGGTAAGGCGGCAGTACTTCTCTGGACGACCTCTTTCACAAGGAGCTCTACTGCTACTACAGTTACGACTTACGAGAACTGGAGAGGATATTGAATATATTTTTCTGTATCTAATGGAGTAATAAACATTTTTGACATAACTCCACTTATGTCATTCTACCATGAGGAGTGTGAATATCATAATTTTGAATTTGGTCTATTAAATTTGAAAATAATCTTCATCATAATTTCAAAGATGCATAAACAAACGGACTCTCCTTTCGAAACCTTCTTGTACAAGACAGTAGGTATCATTGCCGCCAACGCGTGCGCTGGCGCAATAAAACGCGCGACAAACTGTCCGCGTCTGCGTGCACGCACCGAAATGGCGATAGTGTTTTATTTTTGTTTCGCTCGATAACTGCACGTCTCATAGTGTGTTATATATACGCGATTTGACATTTTAGTGTTATTTTAGTCGATCTAGAATAGCAGACTTTGTAAAGTGGAAGAATTTCTAGTGTCTGTATAGTCTGAATATCTCGTCTCATCCGAAGAACAGAGTCCGATGTAATTATATAGCGAAAAGAGAATAAGTAATTTTAAATTTTTATTGAATTAATATTCAGTTATTTTTTGTGAAATTACTCCACTAGTTTGTAACCGACGTCTTCTTGCATACCGTGCTAGACGCTATACTAAACTAAGCAACGGAACAAACCAACGGACCTCACGAATTTTTCTATGTGCTTGCGTCGTGTCTTTGTATTTGGTTTTTCAACGACTTTTTAGTCGTAACGCCATCTATGAGAAATCTATGAAATGTTAGTAGCTTAGTTGGTATAGCGTCTGGCACGGTATGCAAGAAGACGTCGGTTCGACCGGATCGAAGGAATTTTTCTGAGTGTTCGATCTTTGTATTAATTATTAGAGAATAAGTAAGTTTCGAGAATAATTCAAACTAAGGCATAATGTAAAAGTGTTTTGAGAATTTATATATCTTATTCTGTTTCGGAAATATAAAATCGAACAACAGTCGATCTGACATCCATAGCGAAGGAGAACGAACCAAATGTACCTACTATGTCCCGAGAACAAGTAGTCTTGCACATAGATCTTTGTTCTACGGATGACTTGATCTGTCTAGCGAGATTTAAGAGAAATAAATTTTATTTCTATAGTATTTCATGTAATCGTTGCATAATGAGGGATCTTAGAGTCGAGTACCGCGTTTTTCTAAGTAATAGCAAGGACCAATAACTGTAGAGGATTGCTGATCTCCATACATCGAGTATATAACCAGAAGTCTCTACTTCTGAATGAAATAGCACGCCATTGTTAGAGATATTATCTTTATTACAATAAATACAGAACATTTTTGGAATATACGGAGACGTACACACAGGTCAGTTGTTGGCGCTGTGCTATTTCAGCTTTCTAATTTGTAATTTCAGTGCAAACGAGAGTTGATATTTATAAGTGATGTATCTCTGATGAGTTACCAGGAATCATCGAGTATATAACCAGAAATAGAGACGAAATAAGGGCCATATATTCCTGGTAACACATTAGCGATACAGCTCTTATAAATATCAACTCCCGTTTCTACTGAAATATAGACAGGCCAACTACTGACCTGTGTGTCTCCGTATATTCCAGAAAATATTCTGTGTTTATTGTAATAAAGATAATATCTCTAACAGTGCCGTGCTGTTCTATTCGGTGGTGTGGCAAAAACAGCAAAACATCTAATTACAAAACAAACGGAGTCACATTTCATAGGTAATTAAATATTAAATATGTAATTTTGCAATTTTCGTCCATTATAGCAAAGCTCAAGTTAACTGGTCGATTTGAAGTGAAACAGTTGACGACACCCGTCAATTGTTTCGAACTCGGACTGGCCAATCGGAGCGCAGTTGTCAAAGCAATGATATGGCAGAATAGTTTTCAAACAAATTAAATGACATTTCGTCTCTATTTCTGGTTATATACTCGGTGCCAGGAATGTATGGCCCTTATTTCGTCTCTACTTCTGGTTATATACTCGATATCTCCATACTACAAGATCGTAACTATGAAAAAGGTTAAAATTCCGTCTTACGTCTAGATGGCGCTGATCAATAACCTGGAAGTTTATTATGTAAATGACCGTGGATACCAATTCCTCTTTAATATGAAATATAAGAAGCCGGTTTTTTTCCTTGTAATTTTATCCAAATGTTGATAAAATTATTTCCTGAACTCTTATCATTTTCTTTTTTTTATGATATCAAGTGACGAAACAAACGTTATTATGTAAATTCGTGGGCCTGTCAATAGATGGCATTGTGTGTTACAAACTAATTTATAAATTAATGCTCCCTGATATGGGTAGATGGCGTTAATCCTAATCAAAATCTTAGTATACAGAGTACTAAAAAACCGACCTCAAAAGTCATTCATCCCCTAGTTTGCCACCCTTAGAGGAGGTACATTTTCTTAAAATTTAAATGGAATTATTACTGAGGTACCCTCTTTCCAACCAAAAAAATAATAATCATCAAAATCGATTCACAAAATCGCGTATCGCGTAAACATACAGTCGAATTGAGAACCTCCTCTTTTTGAAGTCGGTTAATAAAAGAATAGCAGGAGCTATCAGGAACACAATAATTAGCAAATATACGACGTTCTTTTTTTGAAAAGCATTATAATTTAAATTAAATTTTTCAGTTCGGTAGCGAGTACCATAGACAATAGAATTTTCGTTCAGAGCCGCCTTTGTGATATGGTTTGTGAAATTATAGGTGACAGATTAAAGTACAATAGAAAAAAACTATAGCAGTTAGAATAGAATAGAAAAGAATAGTATCATTTATTTCATAATATTACAATTCGAAATACAATATCAAGGGATAACATGATCGTCATTAATGTAAATAATAATTTTACTGTTAATGTAAAATAAAATAATTAAAAGAGAATTAAAGAAAAATATGAACTACAAAAATACAAATAAAAATTTAAATATTTTCAAAATACGAACGTCCAAAATTAAAAACATAATTACAATTTCTTTATAAGAAATTCCTGTACACTGTAGAATTCATTATCCAATAAAAGGTCTTTCAGTCAGG